TCTTCCATGAGAATTCCTTCAGAAGCTTCCTTATGCACACAATGTCATAAAAATTTCTACCCAAATCACATTTCTGTTCACGAATCTCCTGTTATTCTGTGAATACTCAGATGATTGCATTAAAATCTGTGATAATGTCAACAAACCATCACTCACAAGAAAATTGAAAAATATTGCATGAAATTCTATTTAGAGGTGGCAAACTCTTGTGTCTAACCACAGAATGGTAGGGATTGGAAGGGATCTCTGGAGACCATTTAAGTCCAACCCATCTGCTAAAGCAGGGTCGCCTAGAGCAGGTTGCACAGGGATGCATCCAGGTGTGTTCTGAAAGACTCCAGAGAAGGAGACTCCACAGCCTCTCTGGGCAGCCTGCTCCAGTGCTGTCACACTCACAGTAAAGAAGCTTTTCCTCATGTTCAGATAGAACTTCCTGTGTTGCAGTTTGTGCCCATTGGCCCTTGTTCTGTCACTGGGCACCACTGAAAAGAATCTAGCCCCACCCTCTTGACACCCACTGTTTAGATATTGATAAGCATTGACAATTCCCTCTCCGTCTCCTCTCCTCCAGCCTGAACAGTCACAGATCTCTGAGCCTTTCCTTGTAAGAGAGATGCTCCAGATGCTCCAGTCCCCTAATCCTCCTCCTAGCCCTCCAATGTACTCTCTCCAGTAGTTGCCTCTCTCTCTTGAACTGGGGAACCCAGAACTGGACTCCTGTTGCTTGTGAAATGTTTGCCAGCTAAGAGTGCTTGACTTGCGTAGCAAAGGTCTCTTAGGAGGCTAATGAAACTCGACAGCAGGAGGTGTAGGAGTACATTTAGTTTACTATTTTGGTCTGCAGCTTCCAGCTGAGTGCAAGATAACACATCCAGCAAATGCTTATGCACATATTTATGGGTGCAGTTTGATGTTAAGCCAATCCAGCCAGAACAGATAAAAAGTGGGCTGACTCCTCTTCACCTACTCACACAATCTTCCCTCTCCCCTCTTCCACTGTTGGAGGTATTATTGTAACACCAGTTCAGGAAACTCAAAACTGACAAAATTAACCCTGCTCCCAGAAAACACAGTAAGTACACCCTCCCCTTCTCTCCAGCTTCGTACCAATTTAGCTACCTGAACAAGGTGACCTTGCAGTTACAAGGCTGCCAGCACCCGTTCCCGTGGCTGGAGCTGGACTGTTTCTTCTGTCAACATTCAGCTTTTACATTGGTGCAGCTGCAGAGGGAAACTCCTGTCTGCTTGGTCTCTGTATTATGAGCTGGGACAGTGCAGACCCTGAGCCTGGTCTTGCAGGTCATAGACCTGAACAGAGTTCAGTGGGAGGTACATTTCCATGGTTCAGCTCTGAGCTGCATCACATCCAGCTTCATTTTGACCATTGCACCGTGATACAGCTTTTGAGTGTAGACAGTAGTATAATTCTTTGTCCATTTGTTCTTATATCATGTACAGGATGTTAAAACAGCAGTGCTTTACTTCTGTGTGATCCTGGCTCAATCCCATTTAACTGAAAGTCTTCCACCAATATAGCTTCACTGGGAGCTGAATTGTCTTCATGTTACTTAAACATCTCAACTATCCTTTAATTGAATCCTTTACTCTCAGAAGAGCATCACTGGTACTAGTAGTACTTGTAAGTTTGAAAAGGAAAAGTGACTGATTCATCTGAAGAAATTAAAGTTGCAGAATTATCATGTACTAACTGCAGTTTATGTTGTTTTTACAGGTGGGCACACAGCAGAAATCCTGAGGTTACTTAGCTGTTTGTCAGAATCGTACTCTCCTAGGCATTACATTTTTGCAGACTCAGATAAGATGAGTGAAGCTAAGATACGCTCTTTTGAACAAAAAAGGGCTGAAACATTCCCCGATTCCCAGGTAACTTGTTAAGATCATTTTAAGCTATAAGAGCATAACTAGCATGACATTATAATTCAAGGCAGTTTGGAGGTGATTCTTTAACAGGATATTTGTAAGATCAGCAGGTGCTTTTGATTTTCTAGATATTGATAATCACTTGCACTAAAGTTCAGCTAAAGGTGCTATTCTGTACATACTGGTTTTTACATTTCTAAAAGTGAACTAAACACTGTTGATTAATGCTGTACTATAGAGACACTGAAAATGCAAAGTAGATATACCTAAAAACAGCAAATGCCATTCTTGCTACCAGTTTTTGCTAACACCTTCTTTACTTTCTCTTAAAATGGTCTTTACCTGCTGTTAACATGTTAATCCATTCCAAGCGCTGAGGAAACATAATTGTAGTGAATGTCACTGCACAAAGAAGGCAGTCTCTTGCTCAAGGAAGGCATGCTGAAAATAGAAATTGGAATAAGTACAACGGAAGTAAATGTTCTGATTACAAAATACTCAGTCTTTTTGAGCAAGTTGTACAACACACAAGAAATTGTTTACATAGTATTGATTTGATATGGTGCACTTCTGATATTTCCATTATCTTCAGCAGCACTACTGGGACAAAAGATTGTAGGACTCTGTACCAATGATTTTCAGAGTACTTTTTTAATGTAAAGCAACTGCTGCTGAGATGAGCAGCAGGCTCACTTAGGAATGACATTTTTAAGTTTGGAAGGCCTTTGTTCCTTGCCTACCACAAGGTGCTGGATCCAGCAGGGATGACAGTTTAAAGTCAATTGTGACAGTCTCTTCTTACACTGTGCACCCACAAGGATAAAAGTTCTGTACAGTGCTCAGAGGTGTTTCCTGTTCAGAGAAATCTTGTTTGGCAATTAATCATTCACAGAGTCATACTCACCTGAAAACGTGCTGCCCTCAATTATTATGGTTTTTAAAAATACATTTTGACTATTAAAGGATTATGCTGTTTTCCACTAGTTCACTTATTTTAGCTAAGCAGGTTGCCTTTCGTGCCCCCTCCAACTGCCAACAGAGCACATAGTTACATTTTCCTTCAACACTGAAAGCCAGAGAAACATTTTTGGCTGCATCTCAGTTTGCTCTCTGGATAACAGATGCTCATTTTCCTTTGGCCATTCTTCTTTTTCCACCGAGCGAAAATATTTAGAGCAAAAATGTAAGAGAAATTTTGGAAAGTAAATGTCACATGCCAATGGCATATATTTATTTGCTAACTTTCAGAGTGTGCTTTTAAGTAGTGTATGTTTTGACACTGGGGATGCTGGAGATCATATCAGGCATTTAAAAATCATGTGTTAGTAGCTTCTTCCCTCTTTGAATATATTAAAGGGAAAAGTCTGAATGCTTCAACTCATGGTCATTCCCTTCCTCATTTTGTCAAGGAAGTAAATTTTTCCAGAACTAAGGACTAGAAGAAGACAGATTACAGTAATGAGCTAAGAGAAAAATCACTATAGAGAGCCTACTTCAGCTCCTGGCAACTGGCAGCAGAAAGACAGCTTCCATTTGTTGGCCATAGAACACAAATTCTTCACTGGATTTTACACCCCCATTTGTCACATCCAAGATGAGCAACCAGAGAAACTAACCTTTATATAATTCTCATCTGACCACGTGTTCTTTGCCATTTTATTTTTCATGAGAGATATCATGCTAAGAAATCTTCAGCATGAAAAAGAACTACGCCATCCCAGTTTCTTTGCGAGCATTACAATATATTCAGTTGAGGATATCATCATAATTCACAGCAGTGGCAGTTTTCCAACTTTTCCTTGCATGCGTGAAAAACAACAATATTAGCTTGGTGAAGGACTACATCACTGGTTTTGAAATTGCAGTGCCCAGTCAACCATTCCGGACTTGCCAGTTTCAAACATTTGTCTTCAAATAACAAAAAGGTTTCTGACTCCACTAGCAGATCTAAGAGGGAAAAAAAAAATCCAACAATATGACACCCTAGAAGATAGGGGAACAATTTGTCCGTTTCTGGTATCAGATGTACTATGGAGTTTTCCAGCAAAAGATGCAGGAGCTACCTTTGTCTGGAATACTCACAGTACTCCATCAGGCAAGAAGCTGGGATTGCAGAAGCATCTGGCAGTGGCTTTTAAACAAACAACAACAACAAAATCCAGTTTTGTTTCTTAGCTTCATATTTAAGTACTGATTGATATGTGGGCTGAAGTCCTAACACAGACACTGGTGTGCAAAGTTTCAAGGACTTTTTTTGAAGACTACAGATAAAAGCAGCTTGATCTTTACTTGAATTCTACAAGTAACTTCCTACTTCAATACTGGCTTGAATCTTTGCCAAGTTTTGCTGAAATAATTGGGGTTTGTGGGTTTTGTTTTGGACTTGTGTGGGGTTTTGGTTTTGGGTTTTTTTAATCACATATGTTTTTTGGCAAATACTATTTAAAACCATTCTTACAGTAAAGGGAGCAACTGAATAGCTTCACTGAACCCTGATCTGCCTAAAGCTACCTTATCATACACATACTTCTTGCAGGACTGAATACTATGCAAGGGTCTAAACTGCACTTACAGCATTTCTTTTTATCACCTAAACTCTTCCAAAGCTTTAAGAAACAGAGAGGCAGCGATAACCAGAGTCCTGTCAAATGGGGAGGAGGGGGCATGTTTATTTTCCCACATTCTGTTGCCAGACTAATGCAGTCAGACTTTCAACACCTGCAAATAAAACATAAACCAATCAGTTGGTAATATCTGTTAATGCCTTCCATTATCACAGCAATTAAATAATGTTATCACAATGAAACAAGGTAATTTCAGTCAGGAAAATTAACTTAATATTCTGTATTTGTAAATGTTGGCATCTTTTTTTTATTATTTCCACCTTATGTATTTAAAAAAAGCCCCAGTTATTGCTGCTGAAGACCGATTTGTAGTCTGTATTCACTGTACAGCTATCAGCAACATCTTTCCTGGGCACAAAATGTATGTGACAATCAGTGATGGCATATTGGAAGTAGCTGGGCAATTTTCAGGAGTTGTAACGATATTTAGGTTCTCTCACTCCCAATATGAGTTATTCCAGAGTGGCAGTGATCTACTGTCCCATGTGAAGCAAGATACCAACCATTGTCCAGATCTAAACAATGTGTCAACATCAATGAATAGTGCTCTTCAGCTATTGTATTAGTCTTTCATTTAAACAGTCCAAAATTTCATTGGCGTCAGGACTACCTTTTGATGTGGCAATAGGTCTTCGTTGTAGTTCCCCTGTGTCAAGGTAAAAGCCATCTGTAAAGAGTTCAGGAAGCCCAACTACTAACTGCTTTCAGTGTTCCAGGACAAAAAGAAAACATCCCTGTTTTATTAATTTGATGCCTTTTATATACACTGAATAATATCTGCTTTTTCTCTAGAGAAAGAACAGAGAAAATTATTTCTTAAACTTTTTTTTTTTATTTAATAAGATGTTCTTTACTATTTCTTTATGGAAATATTTTATCTTTTGAATATAGATCTTGCATTTCTTTTGTTTAGTCATTATGTACTCATTTAAAGGTTAGTGGTGTTTGCTGTTACATTTCTAACAGTGTGCACCAGCCATGAACTGAGAAAAGCTGTTATATTTTCTGCAGTGTAAATCCAGGAAGAATTTAAATAGGTGAGAGGCAGAGGAGAATCGCCACATTTGAGTTGTGTCTAGTCAGACCTAGACTTGTGTCTGGGTGACCACGAGGTGGGGCACTACGTTAACATACTGCGGGTGAAGGTGCTCTAGCTGAATTGTTAATTATTAAGTTAGGAATGTTTTAAAGTAACGTGAGAAGAGATTAAAAAAATAGAGTTCTAGTATTTCATTTTTCTTTATTGCCAGGAGTGCTAAGCTTGACACTGAATAGAGCATCTAAGAAGAGGTATTATACCCAAACATTTTCAAACTAGCTTTAAATAATAATAATAATAAAAAAAAAAAGTTGGCACAGAGAGATCTAATGACTCTATAGAAGGAGCAACCACATTCTTAGAAAAGTAATAATTCAGCTTATTGTGCTGTCTTCCAGTTCACCCTTGATCGCATTCCCAGAAGCCGCGAGGTTAGACAATCTTGGACCTCCTCTGTGGTAACAACCCTGTACTCCATACTTTACTCCATTCCTTTGACCTACAGACTGAAACCAGATTTGGTAGGTAAAGTAAGTTTTAACATATTGAGAACTTGCTAATCTGCATCATAAAACCATTTGGAGACATGGCAGACTATCTCTTACATATGCTTAGATTTACAGTTCACAGGAAAAGTATTTTTGAATGCAAAATTAAGGCTGAGGGAGATACAGCAGCAATACACCAAGAAAGAGAAAACGGTTCGCACCACTGATAATTACAGTAGCAAATACCAGTTTCCCCTCACAGAGCATGCAGGTAACGTCAGGGAGCGTGTCACTCCCCTGTTAGTGCTAGTAGAGCTGGCACAAAGTTGCCAGTTCTTGATAATATCTCTTCAGGATTGCAACAGCACGAACTGTGCCTGAAAGCCTGGTTTTCCTGTTTGCTGGTCTTGCTCCTGAAATGGTGTGACCAGTCTGGAACAGGCAGGTTCAGACCAGCAGAAATACAGATTCAGTTCTTGTGCTTACACAGACTTTTCAGCTACATGCATATTTATTTAGTCTTTGGCTGAAGGACATTAATTATCTCATCTAATGACAGAAAACATCACTGCTAAAATGGCAACTCCTCAGCACTTCAGTAACTATTTCAAGCTGTTCAAAACCACACTCTCATGTTAATTACAACATTTATTTTAAAATATTCCACACAGTCAAGTCAGAAGCATTTACGGTTGTCAGATTACAGAACTAAAATAGAGATATCCTTTTCCTTTAAGAGAATTTTTTATTAAAGCTGGCTTTTTGCTTGAGTTGTTGTCATCTAGGGAGTCAGTTATCCACACTTGAGTTATTTGAAAAAAGCATTATTTTAGCAGAATTTCAAATTCGTATGTTATGCAGTTTTAAATATTTTAATAAAACCTGTAAAAACTTGTGCAGTTGTGAGATATGTTTCATAATTTAGTATCAGCTTACTTACTTCCACAGAGGATGTTTGTAAACAGATGTTTTTAGCTCTCACTGGGAACTGTATGGCTAATTCTAAAGAGGTTTATATATATTTGTGGTATTTTGAATGTTTAGAGAAGCTGCTGTGAATAATTTCATCTCATTGGCTTCAATAGTACTTGTCAGTTCCTATCAGATCAAAAGCTACTTGCTTGCTGGAGTTTTCGGAGCAGTTTAGTGTGCAGAACAACAGAAGTAGCTTTCTGTAGTTCTTTTTTTTTTCAAACCTATTCTGAAAACTGGAGATAAAGCTGGAGGGGGGAAGGAAATAGCATACTAATTTTTTTTACAATTATTTGAATGGGGGGAGGAGGGAGGGAACAGCACAGGGATGTTTACGTGAAGCCAACATCTTAGAGAAAATGTGAGTCACAGACATGTAGGAATCACCTTGCTGCACCACTGTTTTCAGTTATTTATATGCTTTTCTAAACTTATTATTGCAAAAGAAATTGACTGGAAGATCTCACTGTGCAGCCTAATATATTACCAGAAGTGTCAACAGGACAAATCATAGAAGAGCAGGAAGTTACTAAACTAATTCCATGGTTTCTCCGTTTACAAGAGGAATTTAAAGTGACAGTGGGATTTACACATAGCATTATTAGAAGCAGTGTTGGAGTTGATAAACTGTGATAAGCTGTCAAAAGCCTAACACTTGTCTCTGTAAAATTAAGGATACCCTTTAGCAAGGCCTTTCAGCTCCTTGTAGTGTTTTAAGGGAATGACTGACTCAGAATGCTATTCAAAGAGTCCTCATCCATGATTAGAGAAGGGGAGGGAGTTCCCAAATATCTTTTTGCCAGGTACCATCACCAGCCACAACAGAAGTTAGTACTGCCACCAGCAGAAGTATCTCTGGTGTTATGCCAAATCTTACTCCACTTGAATGCTGCTTGCATATTAGTACTTCTATGCACATGTTAAGAATTCTGTAAAATATAATAAGCCAGAGAGCTGTAAAGGTTTTAAAACACTTAAAGGAGAGTGATTCAGGGATTAAAATGCCTCACATTGCCAGTGAAAAGATTCTGTGTGGTATTTGAAGCAACTGGTAATATTTAATTGCCTTTAGAAGAAAATGTTCATGGTGAATTGCAACTCCCCTTGCTCTTGGTAAAATGTAATGCTTAGCAGTTTATATAACTAGAAGGGGTGGGAAAAATGCTGGCAGTTACAGGATTCACCTAAAACTTTTGGAAGTTTTAGGTGAATCCTGTAATTCAGGAATCACATCCTGAAATCAATACCTAAGTTTAGAAACAAGCAGAGCATTTCATCATTCTGAGAACTTCACATTTTTTAAACAGTGGAACTTAGGAGTAGTGTTTTCAATCTAGGCAACTGTTTTTGTTTAATTGCAGGAGGAAAGGACAACTCTGAATTGCTTCTAAGTCGTTTGTACTCATTGGTGATCCCCAAAACCTTACACTCACATTTAGGCTTGTCAGAAAGGTGTGCATATTTGAAGGAGTGACTGAACTCATCTCCAGATGCCCAAAATCTAGAGAAAAGCAGAAACGTTGCTGTTTTCAAGGATTGCTGGACAGGAGAAGTACGGTGAAGGGAGGGTGAAATCACTAGGTGCACAAAGGCAAGATTTGGAGCAGACAGGCCTAAGCTGGCATAACTAGCATATCTGTGGAGCTGAAATAGCTGTAAAGGAAACAGCAAACCCAGCTGCATAGGAGTTACCTTGTATGTGCTTATTTACATCAGCACTGTGTCTCTGTATCTCACACTGATCTTCTGGCAAAGCTTCTTAATTTACTTTGCATGAGAAAGCAGTTCCATCTAACCCTTCTTCAATATCGTGAGTTCAGAAAGAAATGAACAGCTTCCAGGAGATTTTTGCTGTCCTGCAGGACTTGACCCACACTCAAAATGGGCCCCCAGAGTGTTTAAGAAATCTAAAAGTTAGCTTAGTTACTCAATTTGAGATCATCTTCAAGAGGCCCATTTTTTGAGTTAAGAACATCTGCACTCTGCAAAGTTAAGTCCCTTTAGAGATATTAAACCAAGTAACAAAATTAAGATGTCAGGAGTGATGATCAGCTTGTGTTCCTGTAGCCAAGAACTATAGAAATATAGGTGTCAGAGTGTTTTGCAGGCCTGTGTATGCTGGGCAGTTTTTACAACATGTCAGCCTTAGACAGGCTTCCTCTGCAGAGGCCTAAAATTCCAGGAAAGCAAGGCTTGTGCCAGCACACTCTGCCTACACCTTCCTTCCCCCTGGAAAGCTTTTAAAACCATTCATCAATTGCAGCCAGGTTTAATATGCAGTCATAACCTCAAAGAGTGCAAATTCCTACCATGAAAACAGGCAGTTGGTCAGAGAAGAGAAACTTATATTGCCTTAATTGAGAGAAAGGCAGAGAAGAAATGTAAAACCAAAATAAGGTGTTACAAAATCTACTGTCCAGGGAAAGATGGAAATCCTTCTTAGTTACAGAAAATTAGTCTAGCTGCACAGAGATTTTCCCCAAAGATAGAGAAACTTACTGAATCTTACATAGATTTGATGTCCAAGAAGGAATATATTAATGCTACAGCCTTCCTAGAATACACTTGAAGTCAGTCATTAGGTACAAGTTCAGAGGAAACAGGTCTTCAGTTCTCTTGCGGCTTACAGAACTATTGTCCTTGTCTCTGGTCCAATCTGCCAACCCTGAAACCAGGTCTTGAAGTGATCTAGCCCTTCAGCTGGGCTGTGATTATTCCAGTCATTCTGGTATACCTGAAATTCAAACTGAAAACAAAGTGTATGGATGCACCACACAGCAGAAAGCTGTACAGACAGTGCACCCAGTCCTTGTTTGCAGCCATAGACAGGCTATGTAATTGTGTCAGCAATTTGCTATCCTTTAGCATAATAAAATTTCACCTAGAATTGTGTAGAAATGCTGCATAAAGCTCCATTCATTAGTAGATTGTGGATCACACACATCCTTAGAACCAGACTTTTTTTTTGCATTTCTGGGGACACTTCTCAGCACTTCCTACAGCCTCAGTGCTCTACAGAGCCCAAAACAAGCAGACATTTTCAGATCACTGCTATTTGGCACAGCCCAGGTTAAATCAGGCAGGGAAGGCAGTCCTTCCACATTAGGGCCTCCATCCCATGGGAAATCTGTAGTAAGAAGTTTACATTTGCACAGCAAGTACAACAGGCTCTGCCATCTCCCTCCCCTCCAGCTGTCAGTTGAGTGAGTCCCTCCTTTTTTAAACTTCTTTCTAGAAGCCTGAAACCTGCAGAGCTGATTATGCTTCCAGCAGCCTGCAATGCTTTTATGATAACACGTCTCATCTCACGTGCCTGGTCCCCCAACTGGTTAAATTCACTACAACAAGCTTTTAGAGTTGTTACAGGAGCATTCACATAATAGCTGATATGAAAGGAGATCATTATTTCATTTAGCTAAGATTTTTCATTCTTTGTGCCCTGCCCAAAATGTCTTAAGTTCACAGGACTTTAACAAAATTACTATGACAAATAGTAAGTTATTGTCTCTTACATCACAGTCCTTATTAGAACTTTATAGAAAGCTACAAAATCTGGGTGGTGGCATTTTTTCTTTATTCACTTAATAACAAGTGAACTTTGTATAATGCAATATATTAAGACTATCTGGTACATGCTTTTGTACACTGAATCTTTCCCCCACTATTTATAATTCTTTCAGACCAGACTGACAGTATGTCTGATCTCTATTGTTCTTCTAGGATCAAAACAGTCAAAATAAGCAAGAGTAAGAATATTGGATTAAGACCTTCAGTGATACAAATCATACAGTCTAAAAAGAAAACAAATTTAAGCCGTCCAAACTTGTGTTTAACTTCTCAGTGCTAATGAAAATGAGTCTTATTCAACCCTCCTCTGCCTTGTGTGCTGTGTACAACTACCCTGCAGCCACAAGGCAGAGTTACCCTCTGCTGAGCACAGGCAAACATCTAAATCTATCCAAATCAGTTTAAAGCTAGGTTGTAACTCTGCTCTTTCTGTGACTTCCAGTTAGACCTGCCTATAGACACTACATTTCAGAGGGAAGACAGAAGTAAAGATG